TCCCAAACAAGAATACAGCAGGCGGTTTCACAGTGGAACGTTTTAATTTTGTATAGCTGCTACATTTCAGATGTAATGTTAGAACTTCATCATTTATCTACATCACAGTAACAAGTGTGTCCGCTGACTAACCAAACTTTCCAACTGTTGTTATTTAGGTGCACGTGTGGAAACTGCGCAGTAATGCCTACCGAGGTGGAAAACCTCTGTTGCAGGGAGATTAGAAAGGTGACAGTGTAGTGCCGATGAAAGGGAGTCGGGGGCGGTGTGTTTAGAATCAGGTAAAATACATGTCTGCTCTGTCTGACAAGCTAGGAATGACAAGCTAAACCTAAGAGCACACACTAAAGGGTCCGTGTGGCAACACTATACCAAAGGTGAATTATGGTCAAAACAGGGTGTCACCACAACAAATACAAAAACACCAACAGTAGCACACAACATTATATACATACATACTTGTCAAGTCAATAGACTATATGCCCTTTTATTTATTCTATAGTAATTGAATGTTTATTTTTGTAAACCTCGCCATAGTTGGATTTAATTGCTAAACGTATTATGTTACAAATATCTTATCCTCCTATAGGTTTTAACACGAATGCACCAAGTCCCAGAACCCATTGTGTGCATGGTTGACCACCCCGGACTAGAACCAAACTGCCTCAATCCCTACACCCTGCAGAACCTCCACAATATTTATCGGTTTGATTATGGACCTTTGAGGCGTAGAACTGAAGAAGAGTAAGTTATTTTTAGCTATAATAAACTACTACTGTATTAGATGAAAAATCAAATAATGGTTTGCTATATATGAATGATCTAGGAGCAAATAATTCAGGGAAGAAAGGCTATCAAGTAGTTCCATCAAACTTTATTTTTGATAAATGTACAAATTGACCTTTATTAATCCCTGTGGGGAAATTCAGTTGTTCAAGAAAAAACAGGATAGCACATATATGTTATCATCCATTCCTCCTCTTATAGGCGTTTTAGGCATCCGGCCTATCGCAGCTTCGTAAGCTGGTGCTGGGGCTTTTTGGGACGAGGAATCAGAGTGGTCACCCCGTCGTGTGTGGTCCGCCGGATACGCCAGGAGTTCCCTGATCTGGCTGGACAGTACGTGGGCTTCCGACCGCCCCTAGACTAAAACGTGAGACATGGCGGGCTACCACTTCCTCCTTTGAGGGCCTGTCAAATTGAGTGGACAGGTCCTTTGGGATGTTGATTTTATTCATCTCCTCCACAAAGGGTGTTGGGTCCTCAAAGACTTCTTCAAAACACCAGCCTCATCAGCTCACCCACGTACACTGAAAAATATAACATTCATATAATAATTAATTATTTGTATACATTTATTCATTTCTCTTTTATTCTTTCATTGTACAGATAATTCAGTGTGGCTATCTCTCTAGCCCTCCATCATCTGTTGCAGTCATCCCGGTTCTCCATCTGGCCAGTTCTTTGGTACTTTGTGCTATAATAATTTAAAATGTAATTTATGTTTGTAATAAAAAAAATGTTGACAACTTACTGTATGTAGGCTCCTTCTTTACAGGCTTTGCGGTGCATTCTCCCCTCCTTGATTTTGGATAGGCCAATCTGTACACAGGTAGTCCTGCAGCTGTTGTGGCTTGCTCACGGTCAGCATTCTCATTGTGATGCATGGCTGCTAGACACAACCTATAGAATAGCAAAATAAAATAAGACTTTGTGTTATGACAGAATAAAACCCTCATGCCACTAAACAGTCACTGTGTTATAAGATGCTACTGAATAAATAATACAGTGTATTACCTGCACAACATTCCCATGAAGGAAAAAACCACATTTTTGGGGGCAAAACGCAGAATCAAGCTGTGGAACGACTCCAGGGATGAGGTCTGGTAGTGATGGCTTAGCTTTTGCACATCTTTGAGAACTCTCTTGTTGTTGAGTATTTTCTCAACTTTGTGGAGTGTTATTGAATCTTGAGTAAAATTACAAAAACATCACCAGCCCATTAGAACATTACAACTTATCTTACCTATCTTATGAAGGAAGTGAAGTGTTTTTAAATGTTTCACTTGTTATTTGCAATTGTTTTATAAATATTGAACTTACCAGGTTTTAGCCATTTATTTTCATCCGTTGTGGCTCTTTCAGGATGTTCACACTTGGGGAATAGGGGGTCGTCATGCACGTGGATGTTTTGTAGGTGGTTGACCACTAACGTCCCACTTGCCACCTTCTCCGGCCCCGAGGTTGTGCTCGTCGCACTCCAGTACACATGGTTTTTTATGCTCTGCAGCCACCTCTTCAACAACTTGCAGTCCTTGTTCTGTGAAAGTTTCACAAGTTTCTTGGACAAACCTGATAAAAAAGAAAACGCATGTGAATATTCAAGCAATAGTGTGTAAATGATGTGCTGTGATGGACAATATTCAAGGGTGTGGTGGAAAGAGGGTGGTGGGCAAACAGAAGGGTAAGCACAGCATGTTAATTACAACCATAACATCCATATGATAATTGCATGACAATGGTCAGGGCGTCACCCTTATGTCTGAAAACATTGTATAGCCAGGAAACACTCATACATATTCATATATGCATCACTGTAAATTCCCATCCTAAAGAGTACTCCCATTATCCTAAGATTAGTGAGTGAAATGTAATTTACAATGACAAAAGGTGCTGTGATCAAGTGGTCTGCCAGACAGTTTACAATAACAGAGGAAAGACCAGATTAGAGGGACATATAGGGGGATATCATTCATGTACCTATCCAGACATGTCATGTCTGCTGCTAAAAAGGACAGTGTCTCTGATTTGGTATACTTTCATTACAACATATAGGGATAAATACCTTTTTCAAAGTGCCAGACATCATAGAATTGTTCTATGTTGCGTTCCCTCAGAAACTTCTGGATCTGTGGATGACGGTCAGTCACAATGTACTCAACCGCCAAATCGTTTGACTCCAGATGATCTAGGCATCTTTTGAGTCCCTCCTTTTCCATGTGGTAACTACCACCTACTTAATTGCTCTGTTGGTAAATAAGAAATAGGGCATAAATACTAGGGGTGTTGAAAATAATCGTTTCTACGATGCATTGCGATGCGGACGTGGACGATTCGGTCTCGATGCAGTGACGGAAGATAATCGGTTATAGCGTAGTAACGTTGCTTCCTGATTTTCCGGCCGCGGCTTTACTATAACGTTTTTTTCCCCTGTCACTTTAATATCAAATCGGTCGGTGACGCAGAGATCAGGGAACAGACGTGACAGCGGCACAGCAACACCAAACACGGAGCAGTCTGCTTTATCCACCAACACAACACCACCAGTCCAGAACCAACAGCAGAAGGACCCGCTCTGAATCACTCCGTGTCGCTGCGGCACAGGAATTTATGTTTTTCAAAAATAATCGCGTTACAATCATGTCAGGTTTTTGGTGGATTTAATTAAGTCTTGGATTGCAAAGTATGAATGTCCTCTAGCAATTTCCAGACGATATATACGTGTGTAAAGTTTGTGAAGGCAGGAGGAAAAAAGCTTCCGCGATCACCGTCTCCTCTCCGTTCCTCCAAACCCCGCCCCCTCCCTGAAAATAATGAGTGACAGGCTGATAGTGACCCGATATAAACTTTATTATTCACTTAATCACTGAGATATGATGAAGCTAATTTAATCTCATACATTCATGGGATTTATGTAACAGTAAAACAGAGAATGTAAGTGTGCACCCACATGCACTATTTTTGTTTGTATATGCTGTTGTAAATACTCCTGTTGTCTGCTGTGTTCAGACTCAAGTCCTGTGTGTGATGCCACATTCAGGACATTCAGTGTCCTTTTTTTAACAGAAGACCGTAGCTAGAAGCTGCAGCTAGACTGCAGAAGCATTATTTTTTTGTTTTTAGGGAGGCTAGACCTATACAATTCATTTATTTTGGTTTATAAATGAATGTCAAGACATTTATGTTATTGATTTCTGAAGCACTTTCTAAATAATAAAAAGAGAGTTCATATGTATTTACTGCATGTATGCATTAATGAAAAAATAAGCCATGTGCAGTAATATAGAAAATTGAGGATGCAACGCATTGGTATGAATCGTGATGCATCGGGATGCATCGGGATATCGAATTGAATCGAATCGTTGACAGGATAATCGTAATCGAATCGAATCGTGAGACCAGTGAATATGCACAGCCCTAATAAATACACTGAAGCATGCATCAACAGCCAGCACGCCTAAAATTACACCCAGAAAGAGAATCCCACCTGAACAAGCTGGAAGTCCACAATGGTGTTGCTTCCCAGGTGCATTAGTGTGTAGCTCCCAAACTTAGCTGAGTGGCCTGAAGAAAATATAATACAGGAGGTTTCAAGACTTTTCAACAGAATTTCAATGGATAAGTTCGATGAATTGTAATATACACCAGTAACTCTGGCACTAGACTGTCTTGTCTGTTTCTGCTTACCTGGAGAGTCTGCTCTCATATCTCCTGCAACTGTGACCTTTCCCCCCTGGTGGTGTAGTTGCTGGAAAATCTTCAGCTGATCAGTTTTCCACTTGTGGATAATAGCAGGCTCCAGATAATGCCTAGCATGCCTCCTGAAGGTCTCATACTGGAAGATCTCCAGCTGCATGGCTCTGCATATCTATGAATAAATAAAAAAACAGGACAAGTATTTGAAAAAGTCCACTTCTGTCATTTTTCATATGCTATGGATGTAAGATGGTAAAATACCTTTTTTAGTTGGAAGAAGGAAGCACCAGTGAAGTATGTAGCAGCAGATCATTGTAAGTTGCCAACCGGGGTACTTCCAATGATGGGCTGGCTCTCCCATTGTCTGAAGTAAGTGCAGTTTGGACAACGTTGTTTGAACGCCACAAAAGTCCCATTTTTTCGTTTTTGGACATCACAGTCTGTCTTACAAAACGGACATTTTTCAGCAGCTGTCCGAGGCAGCTTTCAAACACAATGTACTTTGCGTCACTGTGCGTGGAACGTGTCTGAAGTCTAATGTAACAAAACAAAATTAACAATACATGTTAGATGTCAACTCTGAACAACAGTAATAGTAATGTGTACCAAATATACCAAACTTACGATACGTCAGATTCTTCTACAGTATCATCAGGGTGGTAACTCGAATCCAGAGTCTCTTCAAATTCAATCGAAGTCTCTCCTTGTTCCTGCTCCAACTCTAGTCGAGGTCTCTTGCTAGGTCCCAATCCTGGGCCCTTTATTGGTGTAGAGGACAAGGGGATTTCTGTGTAGGTGGAAGTTTTAGTGCCAACACTTTTGAAAGACACCGTGGCCTGGATGCCTGTTAATAAAAAGGGAAAAGTGCATAAATACTATGTACATTAGATAAGACACTAATACATTGTAAAAGGCCAACAACTTGTGTACATCTGACAGATTAATTCATGAAAAATGTACAAACTACAAACAGCACTGTATTTCTTGTAGTCAACATAACAGTATTTCTGTGATATACAATAATATCAAATAAGGTTTTATTTATAGAGCACATTTAAAAAAGATTTTTGGTCGAGCCCAAGTGCTGTACATGTAATAAAAGCACAATTAAGGTAATGTATCTGTGATTTGTCAGTGTTATAGTCTACCTTTGCTTCTCACGTGTGCCGATTTCAGTGTTCCCCGGGCCAACATGTGTAGCAACAGAAATGGCGGACACTTTACATTCCACTGTCTGTGTTCCCACAGTTGTGGTTGTGGACGGTCTGTTTGACATCCGACTGTACTGGAGCAGTTGGTATTGTGTTCCTGCTGTGATGTACTCTAAGAAAGATACACATAGTATTCATACAATTAATTTTGTATCTGAGGAAAACAGTCAATTTCATAAAAGCAACACTTTTACAATTACAATGCTGATCCACCCCCCACTGTTGGCCTGTTTCAGTTCTCAGGGTAGAAAAGTCAGTAGGATAAACACTATAACACTTGGATAGCAATTTAGGGGGAATTGTTCTGAACTCAATAAAATGAAAATGAAATGTTATGAATTCTGGATAAAGGTTTTTCCCTTCTGAGAAGACATCACCAAAACGATGTATTGTTACTTTCTGAGATGACAATAAAATAGATTTCCCAACCTCACCTAACCCATAAACCTGTTGCTTTGTGTATGTGTTGCGCTTAGCACAAAATCTACATACTTTTCTCTGACTTAAGCAAGTTGTTTATTTTCCCAAAGTATAGAGATCATTTTGTGTAATTGCAACACAGTAGAGATTGTTAAACTGTTTAAATACAACACAAGAGTTGAGCTTGTAAGACTGATCATCATTGCGACTCTTTATATTCTGTGTTTGTGCTTTTTAAAAAAGGGTTTTTGGCTCTTAAGTGATTGTTGTTTTCAAGTTAAGTTAAGCTTTTCTCTAATTTCCTCTTTTAAACCAGATAATGGTTCCATGCTGTACGGTCGGGTCCCCTTTACAACGATGAACATTGGCCCCCGGCCCCTTTACAATGCAGCCTAACCCAGCTTTTGAGTCCATAATGTGTCAACAGATGTTGAGAATCTATAGGACTTGTAACGGGCGAGAAGCAGGATACACCTTGAGTGGGTCTCCAACAATCGAAAGACTGACATGTATCGACCTATATATACAGTCTATGGTATCGACAGAAAACCTTAGTGAAATGTATTTAGAGTCACCAATGTACCTTTCTTTGGACCAGAGGCCACCGTCTTTTCCTCCAAAAATAAGCACAGATTCTAACACTTAATTGATAATCTTCCTCCACACTTGCACATTATGAACACTAATCTCCTAAAACCATTTAGACCAGAAAGGTTTGAAAGACACGTCATGTGCTGTTACTGTATGTTAGTCACAACTCTTCCTCTCTCTCCTCTATGGTTTTGTAAGTGGGAAGGTATTATGATGTTCAGAGAAAATTAACCCGCCACAGAACAGGTGCTGCTGCTGGCACGACCAACTCCATCTAGCTGGCAGAGCCACCACCCCATGCTTGGCAAACACAAGTATTTCTTATATTTTTAAACCTTTTCTTTTAGCCTTTTTATAAACACATAGATTGTGAAAATTGTTTGGGGAAACTCCAGGTCTTGTTGAACACATAAAACAAAAATCACTACTAAACACACTTAGTGACAGATACAGCCATATGATGGGAGAGGTTGTCATATGCAAATCAAATATTTTTTGTTTTATCTTGGTTAATAGTTATAGATGCTCAAATGTGACTCTCCTCTATAGAATATTGAACCAAAAAAGCCTCGTACTTATTAGTTTTATCTGTAAGAGCACAGTAAGAGAGAGCCTAAGATGCCAATGACCGCTTTACTGTGTTGTTGTGTGAATGACAGTAATTCAGCTCTCTGTAGCCTCAATGTCTTGTCATAGGGCTTATATAGTGAAAAAATTCATTCGACATAACAATGAGAATCTGTACGCAGGTTGGCCTTATAGGGTGGGTTAATGGAAATCCACCAAACCCTGTCATTCTTATCCTTCTGTTGACACTTTTTGCTTGAGCGCCATCTCCCAACAAGGATCTAACCAGCATAATGAAAGAGGTCATACACGAGGTGTGGTCGGCGGTGACACATGACAAATTGATTGCATGCATTGTGGCTTAAAATAGAATTGAATGGAATTGTAATACGCTTGCTGAGACTTGCTGCTCCTCTCATGTTTTCCCGTCTGTTGTCTTATAGATACAGATCAGTTACATGCTGCAGCGCTCACCAAATGGCCATCCACATATGAATTATTCCTGGGTGAGGGGCAAGCAGCATGAGATTTGAGTGGAATTGCTCTGAATGGATGCTGGGAATTAGTTATATAGACCTCTTCTTGGATAGAAGATGGGGAGATACTGTAAGATGAGGAATGTCACTGATGTTGTTTTGTAATGAGAGTAATATATCAAATGCTAGTGGTTTTCAGAGCATTTACTGCATGGGAAGCTCATCTAGCATGACACTCTGTATCAGTGTATTATGAACTCTGCATTGTGTTCGTGGAAGATAAAGAATCAGAAGAAGACAAATGCTATCTTACCAGTCGAGGGTTAAATACTCTCACAAGCTTAAACGGCACCAATGTAAATACAACTTCATATGAACAGATTTCTACATGCACAACTCTCCTCAGCAAGGTCTGCAGTTCTCTGACTAGCTTGTGTGCCACTACATCTACCAAATTCAGTCTTCCATTAAATCAATAAGATCAAATAAAGTGGAAACTGCTTATATTTATTACATTTGTATGGGTCAAATGTAGGGCTGTGCAATTAATCGTATTTTAATCGCGATTACGATTATGGTTTGCGACGATTATGAAAACAGCATAATTGACAAAATACGATTATTTCGCTGGGTGCGCTTCGCCCCTCCCTAAAAGCCCACTCGGCCACGTGGGAGTGACATGTGTTGTGAGTGTTCAGCGCGAGCGAAGATGTCAGAACAAGAGCAGCAACTCGTTAAAAAGAAGGGTACAGCTATTTGCAAGTACTTTGCCATTACATTCCACATCGCTAAAGATATGTGCCCAGTTAGCACTGTTAGCAACCAGGGCTTTAAGCAACTTGTCAACACGTTGGACAAGCGTTACGCGATGCCGTCTCGGTATTATTTCAGCAGGTCTGCGCTGCCTGCACTATATGACAAATGCCGTGGGGAAGTTGAGAGAGATGTGGCTTCAGCTGACTACTTTGCTACCACAACGGACCTATGGTCTAGCCCAGGGGTGCCCAACCAGTCGATCGCGAGATGTGTCTAAAAATAGAACAACAATATTCTGTTTTATCGTTAATGTCCTGTAACATAATCTTCCTGTGCCAGAATAATGCACATGAACGCATCAAAGCTTTGTGATTGGCCGGCGTCACCCCATGTGTCGGGGCGTGGCTGAGGGTCTTCAGTACAGGTGGCAATATCGTCGCCTGCCTGCGCTCATCTCTGAAACCAGACCATGTAAACAGCCCGGTGTTTCTTGCAAAAAATCTTTAAGAGATGACATGAGCAGCCCTACCAGCATTTGCCATGGTGGCCTAAACATTTTTATTTGGTCTTAAATTGTAGTTCAACATTTATTTCCTGTTACTTCTGGACCATGACGGTTGGCCAGCCTTCAACGTTTAACTGAGTGGAATATGTTGAATATGTTTTACCAAAATGTTGGCTATATGTTAAGGAGTTTTCAGTAGGTTGTGACAGTGCACTGCATCATATTTGATTTAATTTATTTTTGGTCTAATTTATTTGTATTTATCATATTAATAATATATGTTTTGGAAGTGCGCTCCAACATATTTGTTGATCTTGTTTATTGGTAAAATATTATTTGTTTTAAAGTTCAATAAATGGTCAATGAATAATCGTCAAAATAATCGCGATATCAATTATTGACCCAAATAATCGTGATTATGATTTTTGCCATAATCGCACAGCCCTAGTCAAATGTGTCAATGGATTCATTTTAATGTCTCGTACAAATTATCATCTAAATGCTTACATTTAGTACATCAATATAATGTAATGAAATGGACAGCTTTAGAGAACTCAGGGAACTGCTTTAGAGAACTCAGGGAACTGCTTTAGACTGGTTTAGGTCCTATCTATCTGAACGCTCTCAGTTTGTAAGTGTCAATGATGAATCTTCCACGCAAACCAAAGTTAGCCATGGAGTGCCACAGGGCTCAGTGCTCGGACCTATTTTGTTCACATTATATATGCTTCCGTTAGGCAATATTATAAGGAATCATTCTGTAAACTTTCATTGTTATGCGGATGATACTCAACTATATTTATCAATCAAGCCTGATGAAATTAATCATCTAAATACAATTCAAGACTGCCTTAAGGACTTAAAAACGTGGATGACCTTAAACTTTTTGATGTTAAACACGACCAAAACTGAAGTTATTGTACTTGGCCCGAAGAATCTACGAAACAAATTATCTAAGGATATACTAACTATGGATGGCATTAATTTGGCCTCCAGTGAGACTGTAAGGAATCTTGGTGTTATATTTGATCAGGATTTATCCTTTAACGCCCACATAAAATCAATTTCAAGGACCGCCTACTTCCATCTACGTAACATTGCAAAAATCAGGCATATCTTGCCTCAAAACGATGCAGAGAAACTAGTCCATGCATTTGTTACTTCAAGGCTGGATTATTGTAACTCTTTATTATCAGGGTGTACCAAGAAGTCAGTCAAGTCGCTTCAGCTGATTCAAAATGCTGCGGCTCGTGTACTAACCAGAGTTAGGAAAAGGGACCATATTACTCCTGTTCTGGCTGCCTTACACTGGCTCCCTATAGAACACAGGATAGAATTTAAAATTATTCTTCTCGCCTACAAAGCCCTTAATGGGCAGGCGCCATCTTACCTTAAATAACTCATTATACCCTACTGTCCTACTAGGGCATTGCGTTCCAAGAATGCAGGGTTGTTGGTTGTTCCTAGAGTCTCTAAAAGTACAATGGGAGCCAGAGCCTTTTCTTATCAAGCTCCACATTTGTGGAATCAGCTTCCAGTTTGTGTTCGAGCGGCAGACACCCTATCCGTTTTTAAGAGTGCGCTTAAGACCTTCCTTTTTGATAAAGCTTATAGTTAGGGCTGATTAGATCCAGCCCCTAGTTTTGCTGATATAGGCTTAGTTTGTCGGGGGACATCTTACTTCTTCCTTCTCTCTGTCTATACCTGTGTACTCTCATGTTCCGATTAACCCAGCTTCCCCAAATGTCTTTCTTTTTGG